AAGGAATCAAACCTTGAATGGTGTTCTGAAGAACACTGGACCAGAGCTCACATGGTATGGAAAATTCTATGACAATATTCTGATAGCACTCTTTTTTTCTTTAGTTCTTACCTTGGACTTCTGAAAGCTTAAAGCATCTGAGAGTCTGGGAAGTTCCTAATGCTTCCATGCACCAGGAATGCTCATGAGATGGTGTCACTGATCATGGATTAAACTACTTTAACAATTTTAGTAAAATTTTTAACATTATGTAATTTGCACACTTTAAACTGGAGCAAAGAAGATAAAAATATGTGGGCATATGCCATCTGGAAATACACCATCAGCAGTGACAATTCCATAAGCTCACTGAAATTGTCTTTGTAGAAGATGACAGAGAGCTTAGCGTTGTTTCTATTTCTTACACAATACATTCCATATATGCTGCATATATGGAATTTAATCAAAAGTATAACAGAAAAAAGAGATCCTGCAACCGTTTTTATAGTAGTACTAGAGACCCAGTGCACGAATTCGTGCATACGTGGGGTCCCTCGGGGTGGCCTGTGGGCATCGGGCTGAAACCCGCAGTCCAATGCTGCCTGCAGCTCCTACCTGCCGCTCCCACTCATCCTGGCCCCACTGTGCCTGCCACGGGCTTGTGCCCAATCAGTCCCGATTGGGAGAGGTTCATGCCACCACAGCAGTGCTCGCCAGCCATGAGCCCTGCATCTGGAATCCTTCTGAGGGGAGTAGCCTGCAGGATCTGGCTGAAACCGGCACCCTGACATCGCCCGAGGGGTCTCGGATTGCAAGAGGGCACTGGCCAGGCCGAGGGACCCCACCGGTGCATGATCAGGGCTGGAGAGGGACAGTGGGAGGGCTCCAGGGTGTGTCCGGCCCATCTTGCTCAGTCCCAATCAGCTGGACCCCAGCAGCAAGCTAACCTACCAGAAGGAGAGTTTGCCCCCATGTGGTCAGTGTACATCATAGTGAGTGGTTGAGCAACCTTAGCATATCATTAGCATATTACACTTTGATTGGTTGAACAGTTGACTGGTCACCGGATGACCGGACACTTAGCATATTAGGCTTTTATTATATAGGATTGCTTCGTTTATTCTATATATTATTAAGAAAGAAACTAGAAACTGTATATAGATAAGAATGACCCCTTAATTATTGTACTTGAGAAAAATCTTAGGAAAGTCACTGGCCTAACTGAGGTTTACATATTCCAACTCACTCAGGCAATACAATCCACATCCTCAATATCAGTAATAGTGGGAAATCTCATTCTAAGAAGCATTTTCTCTAGTGACATTTCCACAATTAGACCCTATAGCTATGCCCGAGTACTGTGCATGTGTATTGCATTGTTTTAATGATGATCACTCTCCCAATCTCAGATATTCAAGTCACTAAAATAAAATTAGTCATCAAATATCAAAAGAAAAATTTATTATTTTTAAAAGGTTATTATTTTGCTAAGCATTCAAACCTTAAACATAGCAAACAAATTCAGAATTTAAGATTATTCCTGCATATGAAATAATACAATTACAAAAGAAAATTTAAGGCTAGAAAACTGTATAGGCAACTAGAGAAAGTTTTAAAATATGAAAATGCAAAATAGTGAAATTTCAAACACAACTCAATCAGGTATCCTAAATATACCATATTGGTTTTAAAGAACTTGTAAGAAGTTTCATTTGCATTGCTTTGAATGACTTACATTTGAAGACTCATTTAATGTCAGCTCAATGTGAAAGCAATGGAAGTGTCTTACCTTAGAGAAAACTCCTTCCTGATAACAATATTTTTCTTATCAGGTTGTTCTACTTGCTCACTGTGATTTGTTCCAAAATTCCAAAATATTTTTCCTTCCTCACACAATGTGCATTTGAAGATAAGGATAGAAGATGTTAATGGCAAGTCTGAATGTGAACCTAACAAAGTTTATAAGGGTTACATCAGCACAAGAATCTGGCTGACTAGTCATTTCATCAGAGTTGGTCTTTCACACCCAGTTTTAAGACCGTTCTTTTCAGTATTAAAAAGGGTTTGCATAATTTTGTTTTCCATCTGCCTTTATATTCTTTACTAGAGGCCTGGTGCACAAAAATTCATGCACTTGGGAGGGTCCCTCAGCCCAGCCTGCACCCTCTCACAGTCCAGGACCCCTCGGGGGATGTCCACCTGCCTGCTTAGGCCCGATCCCCAGGGGATCGGGCCTAAGCTGGCAGTCAGACATCCCTCTGGCAGCCCAGGAGCCCTTGGGGGACGTCCGACTAATGGCTTAGGCTCGCTCCCCCTAGGGAACCATTAGTTGGTCATCCATAGAGCTGCTGAGAAGGCTGGAGAGGCTCCCGCCACTGCCACTGCATTCACAGCCTTCAGCCGGCTTGTGGCTGAGTGGAGCTCCCCCTGTGGGAGCACACTGACCACCAGGGGGCAGCTCCTGCATTGAGCATATGCCCCCTGGTGGTCAGTACATGTCATAGTGACTGGTTGTTCCTGGTCGTTCCACTCATAGGGTCAATTTGCATATTACCCTTTTATTATATACTACAGGCCCAGTGCACAAAATTTGTGCATGGCGGAGGGGGGGTGTCCCTCAGCCTGGCCTGAACACTCTCCATTCCGGGACCTCTTGGGGGATGTCTGACTGCTGGCAGTCAGACATCCCTCTTACAATCTGGGACTGCTGGCTCCTAACTGCTCACCTGTCTGCCTGATTGCCCCTAACCACTTGCTGCCTGCCTGATCGCCCCTAATCACTCACCCCTAACCACTGTCCTCTGCTGGCCTGATCGCCCCTAACCACTCTGCCTCGGCCCCCGCCACTGTGGCTTTGTCCAGAAGGGCATCCGGAAGATGTCCGGTCTATCTGGTCTAATTAGCATATTACCCTTTTATTAGTATAGAGGATTATATATCACTCATTATGAACCAATAATTTTATTTTGGGGACATCCTCTCAAGATAACAAATTTTATCAGTCTGAAAACTTTAATTTAAGCAGGAGTGGGAAACCGTTTTTTTGCAAAAGGCCATTTGGATATTTTTTTAAAACATCATTTGCATCATACAAAATTATCCACTTAAAAATTAGCCTGCTGTCTTTGGTCAAACATTTAATTAACTCACCCCCTCATGCCTTGGCAGGGCCAGACCAAATTATTTCTCGGGCCTTACACAGCCTACAGGCCGAGCATTCCCCACCCCTGATTTAAAGGGAAATATGAATTAGGTTATCTGATTTTCACATGAAGAATCTCTGCTTTTGTCAAGCTGCATTTTGTTAGTTTGGTCGTTATCAAAACATTCATTTGAAAAAGAAAAAAAACACCATTCATTTGTTGTTTCACAAGTAAGGATACAGCATATGAGCTGGGATGCTAGATTCCAGCCCTGTTTGATGAAGACCCTGTGTAGCTTTAACAATTTTTAGAAGGTGTTTACTGCTGGAGAGATGGGGGCTGGGTGTCTTTGAGTAGCAGAAGGCCTTCTGGGGATCGATCCCCCTAACCAATAATAAGAGCAGTCTTTGAACAGACTGAATATGTCCAATATCTACAAATAAACTAACACACTCCATGGGGTGAATAAATTTCTGTCTAGAACACAGCAGAGTCATTACCTCAATAATGAAGTACTTTTCAATAAGTTGAAATGTTTAAATAACTTGATTATCTGCATTTTTACTTTCCTCATACAAATAAACCCCTCCTAGTTTGTTTAATTTGGGCTTTAGCATTTCAGGTGATATTAAATTATATTCCAAAGGACTGATTTAATGATAAAGTGCAACTTTTCTTATAATTTGAAAGGCAGTTATGAAATGGATAATCTCTTACCTACTAAGATTTGGCAATATTATAAATAATGTTAAATAGAGAAAAATAAAATTTTTGGAAAATGATTATCTCTTCCTATAATGTAAAATGGGCAAATGCTTGGTAAAAAGTGTGTTACACTTAAACCAGCTATATCCTGAAACTTAAAAGAAAAAAACACACACAAACACAGTGCTATTCATCCTTTTGTGAGGTTTTTTTTTTTTTATCTTTGAAACTATAGCAATGAGAAGTGATTTACAAGACTGTCTCAAATCCACATATTAAAACTGCCAAACTTATGCATTTGACAAAGGCTAATTTCATGTTATTAAGAACTGTGTCAGCAACAATCAGAGCCTAGTGTATTTTAAGGCCCATGTCCAACTAAAATATTTCATTTGCTTAATTACAATCTTTGTGCCTTACCCTTCCACCAAGAGTTCAAAAATATATTGTGTCAGATGAAAAAGATAAAAATATGTTGCAATCCAAAATCAATACAATAATCACTTTTATTTTATCCTTTTCTGTAGGCTCTTCTTCTTGGTTTGGTGAAATCATGGTCTTAATAAAAGATTGGGTGCTTAATACAAGGTACTTATTTCAAGCATGGATACAGAAAATGCAAGCATTAAAATATCATTATACATTCTTCAGAATACTATATTTTTCTTAATTCTTATCAATATAAATATATTTTTACCAAAAGTTGAGTAATTTTTTAAAATTGGAGTTTATATACTAATGTTCCAGAAATTAACTGATTTACTTATAACATGCTTTAGAAATTGAAAACACTTGTGGCATCAAATTTTGTTCCATAAGAAATTAATAATAATATTTTTGAAGTCTTAATGTGATAATTCCAGGATTTTCAAGTACAGAAAACATAAAATTTTATAGTAAATATAATCTTGGGGTCGAAATTTTTAATTCATTAAATTAGCTGCCTATAACTTAAATTTGTTATTAGGTATCTGTGGTGGTGCATTTGGAACAGCTCCGTCGTTTATGAAATATTCATTCTCACGTATGTGCATAAACACATGCAAACATGTTTTATTTCTTAAGTAGAAGGGTACTTAAGACTGTGCTAATTCAGCCTGTGTTGGTACTACAACCATCCAAGGTATGCAGTAGGCAATTAGCAGCAAAACATGCCTGATAAAAAACACTCACTTTTTTATTGATGTAGTACGGGTCCAGGTCCTCCAAAGGTTCTGACACCATCCCTGGAGGAATGTCTCCATAAATAAAAGGAAGGTTCCTTCCAGCTTCCAAGTCACTATTTGGCTTTGGGCCATTTTCATCGTCATCTTTCTTGTCTGGTTTGGGACTCTTAGCTTTTTCTTCTGCAATGCGCCTTTCAATAGCCGCAAGAGATTCTCTGGTGAAGAAGTTGAAGCTGTCAGGTCCTGGTGGTACAAGCACTGTTTGCTCCATCTTGTCATCCTGCACATTTTAATTACCATTTACTCCACATATGAAAGTCCTAAAAAAAATAAAGAATGTTGATATTTCTTAAGGAGATTCAGAGAAGACTTAATATCTATAAACTCTTGCATTAAACATTAGAGCATTGACATTTTTGTTTCCAATTAAATTGAAATGTAATTATTAAATGTGAATCTTTTTTTTAGTAAGAACATTTAATGTTAGATCTACCATTTTAACAAAGTTTTTAAGTGTGTAAGACAGTATTGTTAACTATAGGCATGAAATTGTACAACAGACTTTTAGCACTTATTCCAGTTACTTCAGGAGTGAAAAAAAAATCACTAATTGGTCTTAAATGAGAGCTTTCTCTTCAGTAAACCCTAAATATACTAGAGTCCTTGATATAAAACTGGAACAGACATAGACCTGAATAGAAACTCCCCATTTTTCTCTCACCCAGATCCTGGTAACCACCATTCTACTCTCTGCTTCTATGATCCTGGCTTAACAGACATGGTTTCTATCTAGGATTTTATTAAGTGTACCAACATTGTTTATTCAGTCTTATGCTTTGCAGATACAGGAACTGTGCCATAAGTTAAGAAAGTGGTTCAAGTCTAGCCTTAATTAAAGTACATTAGGCTAAATACCACCATGTCCCTAGTGGGCTGTTCACTCTGTAAGACACACAGAAGATGAGGATGTAACCCCATAGAGACAATGGTTAGTTCATCAACAGGATGAAGTGGAAAGGGAGCTATCTCTTAGAGGATATAAAACCCAACCTTCTAGTACCTGGCCGGTGTGGCTCAGTGGTTGAACATTGACCCATGAACCAGAAGGTCACAGTTGGATTCCAGGTTGGGGCACATGCTCAGGTTTCTGGCTTGATCCCTGGTGGGGGGCATGCAGGAGGCATCCAATCCATGATTCTCTCTCAAGATTAATCTCTCTCTCTCTCCCTTCCTCCCTGAAATCAATGAAAATATATTTTTAAAAAGTCCAATCCTCTTGTCCTGACAAGTGGCCCCTGGCCAAGGTGGTCAGAACAGTTTGCTGCAGCCAGCCTTAATGACCAATCAGGCTGTTCTGATTGAGTCTTCTTTTCTGAGATTTGAGACAACTAAAACTGTGACCTGGTCATGTCATTAGCCATGTTGAGGTTGTCATACTTGAACACATACAGAAAGAGACAAGTAAAGACTGGACAAATGCCTTTGATATGACTAAGAATGACAGAAAGACTAGACTAGAAAGTACTAGATTGGGTCGTGGTGGAAGATAGCTAAAGTTGCTGGAGACAGCAGGGTTCTCCTATTTCAGGGGAGAAAACATGACCAGAAAGAAGACAGGATACCATGAGCTCAATAGGAACTGCACTATTTTTCCTCACTAAAGCAATAATAATATTCTTGCTGATACTATAGTCCTATAGTGCTATAGTCCTATTATGAGAACTTGAGGCAAAACTCTCAACTCCAGATAGCAGAGTCAGACCTGATCTGATGCCAGAGGCCAAATCCCAAATGTATTATTTTCAGGCATATTTAATATGAGCTCAAATTTCACAGGTATTACTGAGCCAGAACTTCACAGAGCCCATGCTACTGCTTGGCCTCAAGGTTTATTTGGATACTGCATTAACTCATTAAGGTCAGCAAGCTATGATATGGCTAATTGCATCTTTTGTATATATGAATTGCAATAATAAGATTGTAGCTGTAACTGATCTTTGACAAAGGGACAAAGACAATATAAAAGAGCAAACATGGTCTTCTCCAAAAAATAGTGCTGGACAAGCTGGACCTCCACACGATTTTATATATATACTAGAGGCCTGACGTACGAAATTCGTGCAAGAGCCTTAGCCCCGGCCCCTGCCCACCACCGCCATGGCCAGGGGCCTCTGCCCCCTCTGCCACAGTCCCCGCCCACTGTGGCTTTGTCTGGAAGGAAGGACATCCTGAATGACGTCTGGCCTAATTAGCATATTATATTTTTATTATTATTGAATATATATACATGTTATATATATTTACTTTACAAAAATATATATACATGTTATATATATTCACTTTACAAAAATTAACTCAAAATTTATCACAGATCTAAAGGTAAATTTTAAAACTATAAAACTCCTAGAGGATAAATTAGGATAAAATTCAGATGATGTTTGGTTTGGCAATGACTTTTTAATGAATACTGAAAGCACAATCCATTAAAGGAATAATTGATAAGCTAGACTTAATTAAAATTAAAAACATCTACTCTGTGAAAGACAATATCAACTAAATAAAAAGACAATTCACAGAAAATATTTGCAAAACCAAAGCTGATAAAGGACTCCTATCCAAAATATACAAAGAACTCTTTAAGCTCAACAATAAGAAAACAAGCAAATTGATTTAAAAAGTGGGCCAAAGCCCTTAAAAAATAGCTCACCAAAGAAGACATGTACCTGTTAAATAAGTATATGAAAAGATGCTCCACATCATATGTCATCAGGGAAAAGCAAATTAAAACAACAATGAGATACCACTGCATACCTAATAGAATGGCCAAAATCCAGAACACTGACACCACCACGTGCTGGCAGGGGTGTGGCTCATTTGTTGTTATTGGGAATGCAATACAGCCACTGAATGTAACAGCCACTATTGAAGACAGTGTGGTATTTTCTTACAAATGAAAGCTTACTCTTACTATACAATCCAGCAATTGCCCTCCTTGATATTTACTAAAATGAGCTGAAGACTTATGTCCTAAAAGACCTGCACATGGATGTTTATAGCAGCTTTATTCAAAATTGCCATCATTGGAAGCAACCAAGATGTCCTTCAGTAGATAACTGGATACAGACAAGGGAATATTATTTAATGCTAAAAAGGAATGAGCTATCAAGATATGAAACCACATGGGGGAAAACTTAAATGCATCTTACATAAGTGGAAGAAGTCAATCTGGAAACGCTGCATATTGTATGATTCCAACTCTATGACATTCGGAAAAAGACAAAATTATGAAGACAGTAAAAAGATCAGTGATTGCCAGGTGTTGGGGGAGAGAAGGATGAATAGCTAAGGCACAGAGGATTTTTAGAGCAGTGAAAAATTTCTGTATGATACTGTAATGGTGGATACAGGCCATTATATATTTGTCCAAACCCATAGAACGTTCAATTCTAAGAGTGAACCCTAATGTAAATTATGAACTTTGAATGATAATGATGTCTCATTGTAGGTTCATCGATATAACAAATGTGACATTTTGGTGTGCACTGTGGATGGTGGATGGTGCTTTCGTGGGGACTGAGCATATATAGGAACTCTAATTCCTACCCAATTTTGCTATGAACCAAAACAAGTCTATTTAAAAGGGGAAAATATATTTGATGAAAATTTTATAAATAAAATAAGAGGGTTTTTTTTTAAGTTTTGAATAAACTGAAAAGAAATATAAATGGATGAAAAGGCACATCTTATTCTTGGATAGAAATACAATATAATAAAGATGAAATTTCCCTGAATTGATGAATAATTTAAATGTAGCCCCTATAAAAATAACAGAAAATTTAGAACTATACAAACTTATCTGAAACTTCATATGGAAAATCAACCAAACAAAAATAACCAGAAAATTCTTAAAATAAACTCTGACTTAAAATTCCTCTTTATTGTAGAAGCCATGGTAAATCAAAGTGTTTAAAATTTTCAAATAATAGATTAATATATTTTTTCCAATGATTTGTTTATTTAAGCTTAGTTTTATCAAATACTGGGATAACATTTATATGTGAGCAATTTAACCCATATTATAATGATATTATTTTGAGGTTAATGAAAGTGTTCCTTAACTCTAAGTATACCTTATATTCAAATCGTTTTAAGAATAAACTCTATATTACAGTAATTACAAGAATAAAATTTTAAAAAATGTTTCATATGGAATATCTAAAAACTGTTAAGTATAATGAATATTAACACTTTGTCAGTAATATTATAGAAAAAATTCTGAATTATATTTAAAATCTGTACATACTTTGCTAAAAAATACAGAAATAAATTGTGTTTTCTATCTACATTATACCTCACTCTTTTTAAAAAATATATATATTTTTTATTGATTTTTTTACAGAGAGGGAGCGAGAGGGATAGAGAGTTAGAAACATCGATGAGAGAGAAACATCGATCAGCCGCTTCCTGCACACCTCTTACTGGGGATGAACCTGCAACCAAGGCACATGCCCTTGACCGGAATCGAACCTGGGACCCTTCAGTACGCAGGCCGACGCTCTATCCACTGAGCCAAACCAGTTAGGGCGATATAGCTCACTTTTTTAAAAAATGTATTTTTATTGATTTCAGAGAGGAAGGGAGAGGGAGAGACAAATAGAAATATCAATGATGAGAGAGAATCATTGACTGGATGCCTCCTGCAAGGGAGATAAAGCCTGGAACCTGGTCATGTGCCCTGACTGGGAATCGAACCAGGACCTCTTGGTTTCTAGGTAGACTCTCAACCACTGAGCCACGCTGGCCGGGCATACCTCACTCTTTAGTGTAAAATTTTTTACTGCATACTTTAAATGGTCCTAATTTCTGAAATTATACCTCATTAGATATGGGAGAGAGACACCTCACAGAATCTGTAGTTTTGGCTTTCACCTTTCTCTGTACATGAGAACAAGCATTTAAATATGTGTTTGGATTGACAGAGGAGCCCTTTCAAAAGAGAAAAGCAACATAACTTTCTTGGTGAGAAAATACTTCAAAGAGATGGCATATTTCCCTTATGAATAATGACAGGCACTTAGAAAAAATAAAAAAGAGAAGAGAGAGAGAGGGGGGGGAGAACTAACAATAGCTAGAAACATAAAAATAAAAGGAAGTATACATTAACAGATAGCAAATTTGAAAGAACAACAAAAGGATATTGGGAATAAGTAATGTAGTGGGCAATAGAAAAATGATCTTTTTTTTAAAAAAGACAAGCAAAACTAAATTAGAAAAGAACTCCTAAAGAAGAAAAAAAATCCAAAAGAAAATAAATGGAAGC